ACGCAGCAAATTTCGTAGCCCCCCCTTTCCATCGGGGATCTTCTGACCCGGGTCAATCCAGACCCGGGTCAGCAGGAAACCAAAAACTGCAATGCAGGAAAAAAAAAAAAAACTGCCACGCAGGTCTTCGCACACCCGGGTCAGCCAGTGTGTGCGGCCGCCTCGCGGCCACGAGCGGCTCCCAAGCCCGGGTCAGCCAGAGGGGGTCTTCGCAGGATCCTGCAGGATCTGGCGCCCTGGCTGACCCCCGCTTGCGTTGATCCCCGTCTCAAGGCTCCCGATTCCAAATCCACCCCTTTCGTCCGGCCCGATCCTCTGCACGGAAGATCTCGCCGCGGAAGACGAGAGCAATCCGGCGAGCGGGCCCCGTCCGCGCTCCCCAGCGGCCGGCCGCCGCCTCGCAGCTCGGCGCGGGCGCCGCGGCACCGCGCAGGCCGCCCGCGCGCGGGGCGGCGAGGAGCACGGGCAGGCAGCGCAGGGCAGCTCCGTGCCGCATTCGGTATCGGGCTGCACACGTGGTGTGCACGTGGTGTGCACGTGTGTGTGCACGTGTGTGTGTGTGTGTGTGTGCGTAGGGACGGGTCAGTTAGCGCATTGAGCTGCAGCTCAAGAGAGAACGATCCGGCGCCTTGAGCCAGACTGGACACGGTTGGGCGGGCTCGGGCGCCTCTTGGGCCGTTTTGGGGCCCTCTTGCACCGTCTTGGGACCTCTTGGGGGCCTCTTGGAACTCTTGGGCCATCTTGGGGCGGTCTTGGAGTCCTCCGGTGCCATCTTGGAGCGTCGGAAGCTCATAATGCGAGAACTCGGACAACAAAAACATCGCAAAAAACAAACGAGGTACTCCCAACAGCCCTTTCGGGCGTAGGTGGTCTAGAGTGTGTTGTCTTCCATCTGCCCCTCTTCCACTCGGGGAGGGGCTTACCCCTCCCCGTACCCCTCCCCTGAACCTGGAGGGGGGATCCCGTAAGGGGTTGGAGCGTCCAAAATGCTCCAAGATGGCTCCAAGAAAAGCGTCTCGGAGAGCCCAAGATGAGCTCCAAGATGGCCCAGGATATCCCAAAATGCCTCAAGATGGCTCCCAAGATGCTCCAATAGGCCCCAAGACCGCTCCAAGACGGCTCCAAGTGGCCAAAGAGCTCCCCAAGGAGGACCCGAAAAGGGCCAACCTCCTTCGAAAACCTTAAGAAATCCATATTGTTTGCTTTCTCGCCTTTTCGCTCCTTCTCCTCCTCCTCCTCCTCCTCCTCCTCCTCCTCCTCCTCCTCCTCCTCCTCCCTCCTCCTCCTCCTCCTCCTCCTCCCCCCTCCCCTCCTCCTGCTCCAACCTCCTCCTCCCCCTCCTGCTTCCAACCTCCACGCTCCTCCTCCTCCTCCTCCCTCCTCCTCCCTCCTCCTCCTACTCCTCCTCCTCCCCCTCCTCCTCCTCCTCCTCCCCCTCCTCTCCTCCTCCTCCTCCTCCTCCTCCACCTCCTCCTCCTCCTCCTCCTCCTCCTCCCCCCTCCCTCCTCCTCTCCTCCTCCTCCTCCTCCTCCTCCTCCTCCTCCTCCTCCTCCCTCTCCTCCTCCTCCTCCCTCCTCCTCCTCCTCCTCCCCTCCTCCTCCCTCCCCCTCCTCCCCTTCTCCTCCCCCTCTGCTCCAACCTCCACCTCCCGCTCCTGCTCCCTTCCTCCTCCCTCCCTCCTATTCCTCCTCCTCCCCCTCCTCCCCTCCTCCTCCTCCTCCTCCTCCTCCTCCTCCTCCTCCCTCCTCCTCCTCCTCCTCCTCCTCCTCCTCCTCCTCCTCCTCCTCCTCCTACTCTTCCTCCTCCTCCTCCTCCTCCTCCTCCTCTTCCTCCTCCTCCTCCTCCTCCTCCTCCTCCCCCTCCTCCTCGCCTCCTCCTCCTACTCCTCATCTTCCACGGCCACCGTCTCCGCCCACGTCGTCGCCGACGTCGTGGTCCTCTTCAGGGTCGGCGGCACCGTCCGTCAGGCATTCGCAATCAATATTTTTTTGCTTTCTCGCCTTTTCCCTTCGGACGGCCATTCGAGGCCTCAAGATGGCTCCAAAGATGGCCCAAGAGAGCCCCAGGAGAGGCCCAAGAGAGCCCCATGACTGCCCCAAGAGCGCCCTCGAGCGCCCCAAGAGCGCTCCAAGAGAGGTACAGGAGGCGAGTGTCGGAGCTCCCGAGGGGGGATGCTGATTGGAGCTCCCCTCTTGTTTGATCGATGTCCTCCAAGATGGCCCCAAGAGCGCACCTGAAGCTCCCAAGAGCGCCCCAAGAGGACCCCAAGAGGCGCCCAGACGGCCCCAAGAGGCCTCCAAGAAACTCCCAATAGACCCGCCTCAAGAGGATCCACGAGGCACTCAACTCTCCCTCCTTCTCCTCCTTCATCTCCTTCTCGTCCTCCTCGTCCTCACCCTACTCCACCTCCGCCTGCTCCTCCTGCTCCTCCTCCTCCTCCTCCTCCTCCTCTTCCTCCTCCTCCTCCGACGACGACGATTCCTCCTCCATCCTCCCCCTCTTGGGGTACATGACGGCTTCCCCCGCCCTTTGTTCTTCTGCATGCTCCCCTGATCACCTCAACTCCCCTGGGCAGCGTTTCTGGATGGGCCGGTGGGGACACGCGAAGCGTCAACAATTCGCTGATGTTTGCCTCTTTGGGCTCTCTTGGGGATCAACTGGGAGCGTCATTGGGGCTTCTGGGGTGCCTCTTGGGCCGGCTTGGGGTCATCTTGGGCGTCTTGGAGCGCTCCTGGTCTGCCTTGGAGGGCTCCTGCGGCCCTCTTGTCCCGTCTGGGGGCTCTCTTTGCTTTTTCGGGCCGCCGCTGGGAAGAAAATCGGGAGGGTATGAAAAAAAACGTTCTCGGATGGTTGCGGAGTTGCCGACCCCAGGCTGTTCATGTTGGAATCAACTGCATCGTAATGTGTATAAAATCCGGGAGCGAGAGAGAGAGAGAGAGAAGCATTCCGACGTGTATGCGTTGCAGATGTGTCGAAAGCTTCTCTGTGCTGTGCAGTTCTAGGTCTGCTAGACATATGATACAGCTAAGCTGAATGTTTGCTGAAAGGACTTGCAGCCTTCAGCCCGGCGGGGATAAGCGTGCGCATAGTAACATCGCTTACAGAAAAGGACTGTGCGAAAGAGCTTTGGCATGCGGAGGCACCGCTGACCATGCTGGCTCAAGGCCGCTATCGAGAGAAAAACACCCTCCCTTCGATCTTCTCCATCTCAATATACACTTGCATACGGCATGCTCTCTCCTTCGGGTTTCGCGGCACCTATCCCCACACGTGGGGAAGGCTCGTGGCGCTAATTCAGGAGCCCTGGCCCAGTGAGGAAGGGGACAGAAATCACGCTGCTGAGAGGAGGGGAGCGCGGCGGTCTTTTTTTATCACGACGACGGACGCTGGGGCTCGGTGCGAGCGGTCACCCTGCAGGCATGCGGAGCAGAGCGCAGCTGTGCATGTGCCGTCAGCTGGTGAGCCAGTCGCTGGGCAGAGCGGCGGAGTCTCCCCGAAGGCAGCGGAGCACACAACGGGGCCGGCGCGGCGAGCAGAGCGCACGCGCCGGGCCGGGAGGCGGAGTGGCCCCAATGAGATCTTGCTGCTTCGGTGCCGACGCCGCCGTCGTCTCCGAACGGATGCCGGCCCACACGAAGGCGCGGCGGGCCGAGGCGGAGGGGAGCTGCTGCATGGGAGCGGCGGCGGGAGGGGCACGACGCAGAGGGCGGGCAGCAGCAAGAGCAAGAGTGCTGGGCAGCAGCCTGCGGGCGGGCGTGCAGGGGGCGGCTGCTCTCTCTCTCTCTCTCACTCTCTCTCTGCGAAGGCTTCCCCGCGCTGGAGGCCACCGCCGCATTCCGTCTGCTGCTCCTCCTCATCCCGGGCAAAACGGAGGGCATGCCACAACAGCCCCGTGCAAACACCGGGCCGCATCGGATCGCCGGAAAGGTGAAATCGAATCAGATCGGGAGGGCCGAACCGATATCGAACAGGATCGATCAGCACGAGATGGACTCTGAAAGGGGTGGCAACAAATCAGCTGCACGCAGCTGGTTTTCCTGGCGGCGTCTCCCAGCGCCAGGAGCGCCCAGTGGTACCGAGTCTGGGGGTCCAAACGCACGATCTGTCCGAGCTGCGTCCAGCCGTGGCGACGCAGGCTCCCCCCGAAGGAAGACCAACCACAGATGCCCGACTCGCCCTCCTCTGACGTTTCGCGGGGGCCCCCCGCGCATCGGGAGGGGCCTCCCGCCGCTGCGCGATGGCCTCCCCGCCCGGACGGCGAGGCGTCCTCGTCTTGCAGGGCTGTCCCGCGCAACCGCACGCCCCCCTCCCGTTCTCCCCGTGGCCGGCCGGGCTCCGCTCGCAACGGGCTGGCGGGGCCCAGGCCTTGGTCGACTGCGGGACGCTCTCGAACACCGACTGCACCTCTGGGAGGCCACTTCGGAGAGGTCCGCGTCGGAACTTCTGGGAGGTCTGCGCCTGCAAGCCCCATCACGGGGCCGCGAAGCCAGAACAGGCAGGATTGAGTCCAGGGTTGGGCCGGGTCAAGCGGCACTTGGCCGGATCGAGTTCGGATTCGTTGAGAGCTGGCGGTGCCAACACAAAGTATACTGGTCTTGGACAAGGGGTAACCCCAGGAAGCATTTAAGAACCCCCCCGGCGATATCTTAGCACCGCATTTTTATTCGATATTCCGAGGGGCCGAAATAACCGCACGATAGGTTTAGCACCCGGACACACAACAAATTCGCGGAGGCCTGGCCCCTGGGCTACAATCGAAATTCGAAATTCAAATCTGCGTGGCTCTCATGAAAGACTCAGGATGTCGCTTGCTGCTTGGAAAATTCATGCAATGAGAATAGCATTAATATTCGCAAGCATATTTGATGACTCCTAACGACTTGAATGGAAGGAGGGGGGCGCGGGAGGAGGAGGAGGAGGAGGAGGAGGAGGAGGAGGAGGAGGAGGAGGAGGAGGAGGAGGGGGCAGGAGGAAGTTCGTGGGTGGAGGAGAGGAGGAGGAGGAGGATGAGGAGGAGGAGGAGGAGGAGGGCTCCTGGTGCCAGGTAACGCTTCCAGGGTGCGGAAGGGTTATCGATTTGCCGGAAGGGGGGGGGGAGGGTTCTTAAATGCTTCCTGGGGTTATACCAGCGCCGATTCTGACTTGAAGCTCCAAGGAGTTGCTCGGCAGCACGCCGGGGGGGAAGTGACAGGGGGCGAGCCTTCTCAGAAGGCTCGGAAGCCCCCCGGCCTTCCGAGCAGTTCTCTGAGCCATCCCGAAGGCACAGACAACTCCTGAGAAGCCGGAGGGCTTGTGAGAAGGTCCGCCGCCTTCTGAGGGGGCCATGTCCTCCTCACGTCCCCCGCCATCGCTCGCCGCCGAGTGGCATCCCAAGGAGGAGGAGGAGGAGGAGGTGGAGGAGGAGGAGGAGGAGGAGAAGGAGGAAGCACCTCCTTTTTCTTCTTTTTCTTCTTCTTCGCCACCTGCTCCCCAGCGGCGGCCTCGGCCAACCGGCGCGGCGCGGCGGGAACGCCGCGGGTGGAAACGCTCTTGCGGCCGCGCCGGCGCCGCCGACCCCGAGGGACCGGCCGGAGGAAGACAAGGACGCCTCTGGAGGCGTGTGGGGCACAGCAGCGACACCTCTTCCCTCTCTTCCTCCTCC